TTCATGTCATTTCATGTGGAGTGCCAAGGGTGCAAACGCCAATAAGTTTCTAGGTGGAACATGCTGGAAGCACCTTCGTCTCGTCCTTTAAATACTTCTCCACCTTATAGGCCGGGACCTTCTGGGTCTGGGCCAGCTCCAAAAACCTCTCGCGTTTGTGGTCGTTCAAGTACTCCTGGTAAAACTCCTGACAGTGTGGAGCCGCTAGCCAACTAGCATACAAGTGGAATTCTCACAGCTAATGTGGCTTTGAGCTGACGTCCACCCCTCACCATCCCTCGATCCAGCCTTCAACAGCCTGATCCTTTTCTGGCAAGGCTTGGTCGTTGGCATGGCGGATGGCAAAATTCGGAGATCGAGAGATCAAGATCGAATTGAAAATGACCATGTGCTGGGATGGGGCCTATGCGATTCCAGGGTTGAAGGTGGTCAAAAAAGTTCTCTTCCATTGAACCCTCCTTGAAGTTGAGCAAATGCGGTTCAAAGTTGTTCAAGACTGCAGAGCATGCTGATCTGCACATGGACTCGTTTCTATGGATGCGATGGGAAACAGAGTGCACCTGTTTCTTGTTCACCTTCAAGTGTCCAAAGTCCTAGGTCGCAACCACAGTACCAAATTGGATGTACTGGGAATTGATCTCCACTTGTGACACTGAGTCCCAGGCTTTTTTTGAGGGCCTTTTTCATGAAGATGCACCGGCCATGTAGCGCGAGCAAGATCAGGCAAAATACAAGGGCTCTAGATACTGGGTATCTTTAACGGTCCATCCTGATTGTGCCATATCGCGCCTGGCCTAACCTGCCTGGATTCTGTCAGACAATGAATCATGTGCCTCATTGCCTGCCCTCCCTTTTGAGCAGTTCAGGGACAGGGGTGAGTGCACCATGTGTCAAACATGTCTAATCAGGGATACGATGTTTGGCTTGGTGAAACATGGTCTCACACCAACGCGAAGTTAAACTTCCCAGTTGAAGCACAGGGTATATATATAGAGAGAGAGAACGTATATGATCTTATATGTTATATGATCTTATCATATCAACATCATATCAACATATCAACCATCTTCCAACAAAACAAAGGTAGCCACTCAAAAATGACAAGTGACCAGTAACAATGCTTCCTGATGGTCTGTCACACCATGCTTTTCCATGGAGTGCTGTTGGCCAAAGATGGTCAAAGGTCTTCCAAGGGCATTCGCTTCATTTTGGAGTTCAGAAGCACCTTGGCTCCTTTTCCGCAAGCCTGAGTCCTTTCACAATCACATGAAAGTGGTTCCCAAGGCAAACAACGGGTCAAGCAAGGACCTTCCCAAGTGGATGGCTCCTATGTGATGAGTTCCTCGCAGCGTGCGTGCAGCCCCCCCCCAAACGATTGCCACATGTTCAGCATTGGAACCCATGGACGGAACCTGCGTCTGGAGTCCAACTCCTGGACTCCGTCAATTCTCCAGGGTTATACGTACTGTTTACAGTAACTGGATCAACTCCAGCTGAAACCCACGAACCTTTGATCTCACTGAGCTCCACATCAAGGGCCGAACCAAAACCGGCCCCCCGATGTGATCAGTCCCACGCCTCACGGTCCAAAGTGTGCATCAGTCAACTCCATCACAGGGCGCCTGGTCGACCAACGGCCCGGGATCCGGGCGAGAACGGTTCGGAGCAGCGGTCTTTGCATGGCGTGGAGCGCCGAAAACAGCGGTTCGTTGGCGGACATCGAAGATATTTGCCTTCCAAGGGCTCCAGCATGCAGCATGGTCCAAACGATATAGGAACTTTAGCTTGCACTTGGAATCAGGAAGGAAAGATCATGAAACACTTGTGAAAGGCCCGTGGGCGATGAACATTTTAAGACATCTGCTCCACTGGGTCTCCGCAATCCAGGCCAACGCGTGCCCTGGGTCTCGCCTCTATTGGCGGACTGTGTCGAGACCCCCGACTAAGAAGGTCTCAAATGGCGACGCGTCAGTCAGGTGAAGGGTATACGTACCAGTGACGAAAGCGTTGGAGAATGCCGCAAAGGAGGTGATATACACGGGCTTGTGTTCTGACCCAAGTTTTTTTTCACTTTCAACCCATGCAAATTCAGTCAGTTTGTGTCACTGCATTTGTAATGCTATCCTGTCACACCAATCTTGAAAGCTGAAATCAACGCCCGTACCAAACACGTCACTCGGAGAGTTCCATGACACTCAACATGGACATCCATGAGTGCCTGGGAGAACTGTGGTGGAAACACCTTGCAGAACTCCATCCTGCCAGGATATGATGCTCCTCACAATGAGACTAGCTGGTTCTGGGGTGGGTCTCAAGTCCCCTGTAGCTCTATTGATCATGGATGGGTTCTCAGGTCTACGGGAGCCCTTCTACAAGTGTCCCCTAAGGCACCAAACTTTACTTCAAAAACCATCCGAAATGGCATTGAAAGGTAGTGGTTGGAACACCTAGGGGGTGTTGGGCACCCCAACTTGTGCGACACACCTGCTTCTTCCTTATCCACCTTCATCCAGATCGCCACGGGCTTAAGCTTCTTCCAGCTTCTTTTAAACCAAGCGGTCGGTGACAGCGTCTCTCACACCTCCACCGTGTGCATGCGCCGCGGTGAAAGCGAACTCCAGGGAGTCGAAGCTCAGTCTCCATCGGATCTTCGCCATGTCCTTCTTCACTTCATTTCTGGATTCTCGTAGCTCAACACGAGTTCATGATCTTCGCTTGCGCCAGATTCTGTCAGCAATAGAAGGCGCCAAAAATTATTGTATATATGTATACACAAGTCCACTCATGCATACACATGAATATATATTATATATATATTATATACATATATATTTATACACATAAATCCGTTCATCTGACGCGAGACCACTCACTTCTGCGCAGCCTTGGCCGCAGCTTGCCTCAGACTCGGACTCGCTGGGTCCACGGACGCCTTTGGCAACCAGAGCCCAAACACGACCCGTCTGGGACTGCCAGGACGGACTGCCGAGAAACGGCCAGGGGTGGTTGAAAAGGGGGCCTTTCTGGGGCGGCAGTCCTATGGCAGTCCCCATGAGTCGTTTCTGGGGAACAAAACGAAACCATCGCGAGGATTTCCGGTTGGAAGTGGGTCATTTAATTTGGTGACCAACCCAAAGGATACAAAAAGAACCTCTTTGTCGGTGTCGTGTCCATGGGAAAGCAGGCGCCGCCAGTTTTTCTGTGTTGACCACAGGACGTTTTTGCTTAGCTTTAAAATTGAAAATGGGCCGGATCCGGCCAGAGAATCCAGAAGCTTTGCCCGCTTCCACTTGCGAATGTAGACGTGGAACCTTTCCCCCCCTGTGTGTAGATGAAGCTTGTACATTTCATTGTAGTGGGAGTGGCAGGGTGCCAAAGAGGCAGAACTCAGGAGCCGATCCTTCTCAACATTCTCAAGCTATTCAAGCAGGAACCATACTCAAACAGCATGAATGACGAGGCTGGGGGCCTTCCTGAGTCTCCCCACTTCTCTGCCTTGAGCTTGGCCAACTCCTCATTGGCTTGATCCAAGTATCTATGATCTATATGAACACTTGCGAAGAAGGTGGGGACAACAAATACTATATTATTCATTCTGAGTGTGTTTCTGCAAGTTTCGATGTGTGTGTGTGTGTCTGCCCTTTGCTCTGATGGGCATGTTTGATGTTCTTTCTTACGCATCGCTCTCCAGGCGCTTCTCGTCGGGTCGCCAGCCAATCTGCGGGACCACTCTTCTTCACTGAAACGGAATCAGGGAATGCAATATAGGCTACAGTATATAGGTTGCCATCTACCAGTGACATAATATTGTTTACATATATGTATATGATGCAGTTATACTATTGATATGCTATTGAATCCTGTTGCATTTGCCAGGCCCTTTCAAATACCTGGGATCCCAGTTCATAATTCTCCCATATGTGTCATGTGAAGCATCAAAGATCTCTATGCGCATCTTTCAGGGGACCTCTGACACAGTGTGAGGCGAGAACATGAGCCCATTTGGTGAACAGGCACAAAACTACCATGTTCCTGAAAACGCTTCGACCACTGCAAGGTATTGCGGTCCTCACCAGCCTTCTCGTATGCATCGAGCTGCGCCTAGCAAAGGGTCAAAACTCAACCCTAACTGGCACTTCTGGCTGCACGGCTTTGAAGAAACAACAGGCACTGGCTTTCTCCGATTTCTTCTGCAACCATAAAACCAATGTCCAATCCTCAAGGAGTGGATGAAATACGGCAGGGGGTGAGTACGCCTGCGTGTTTTTGGCACAAACAAACACGCCAAGTTCACGTGATATCTTTCAGACACGGTGACTTCCTGCCCCACAGCAGCCACTGGTCGGACTGGGGGCGTGGAAAAGAGAAGAGAGCAGCTATCGACCCCGAGCTGATCAGATGTGTTGGAAGGCAAATTGGCCTTTCAGGAGACATGGAAAACCATGTGTGAAAGTTGGACACGGAAAAACACAGCAAAAAAGGACCACTAAGCAGTCTCAAAAAAAGACAAAAAACACGATCCAAAGAGTGCACAAAACGAGGCAAGCGTCGTGAGAATGAAAGCTGAGACTACGAGGACTCCAAGTGTGGCGGTGGTTCTGTGGGTTTTTGGATTCGCAACTGCAAATAACTTAGCACCTAGGACCCATGCCTGTGAATTCTGATGCCTGAGAATAGACATGTTCCCACTTTGGTAGTTTGGGTGACCCAAGGCACATACGCATGCACGGCACTGTTCAAACATTCTTAAAGTTTGTTGCACTTTTGTGCAACGCTCTGGAAGCGAGAAGCAGCAAACACATGTTTCCCACGGAAACCGACTCTACAATGCAAAAACATCAAATCCTGGCCATTCCATCTTCAGGCGGGGTGATATTCATCTTCTGTGCACATTGGTGTGCTCCTTGATCTTTTCATTGGTCTTCTTCGGAGGAACACGATCAAAGGCGAACCTGCGCTTTTTTTTGACGAACCTGCGTGTCCTCTCTCCGGCTAAACGCTCAAAGGAAGTCCTTCAAACGTCTGCATTGGACGGGAGGTGCAAAGGGCGCTGGCAAGGGCAGCATGGCCTGCTCAGGTCCTTTCAGATCATCGACCTGACGCGACGTCTGGACCGAACTGTCGTACAGGTCACCACTGTCGTACAGACCGAACTAACCTTTTTTTAAGGGACCACGCATCACTTTTTGGCAAACATACTTATTACATCAAACATTGAAGACAGGAACTGTCAACAACAATCTTACAGTATACTCTGAATATGATTGAATATGTGCATTGAATATATACAATTAGTGTTTGTCTCTGCCGTTCCTTGTGGAAGGACGTTAAAGGGTCAAGCATGACATTAACCTCCGTTGAAGCCCAAGCATGATGTGCAACCATTGATCAGGTTTCCGCTGGTTGCAAGTCCTTGGTTTTGGGTACGCCAGCCAATAGGTGTTCACTCTCAAATCCCACGCACGACCACAGTTTACCACTGCACAGCTTGGCATACGTAATAGAACCCAGTAGTCTCTTGTTCCATTGTCTTCAAAGGAAAGGCTCCTCTGAGATGGCCCGTGCAGGTGCCTGCGCAGCCACTTTGGCGACCTGGAGAAAGGAAAAAAGCAGCTCCGCAAAGAAGCGCACATTAGCTATATAAACAGGGCCAACTGAGTTGATATTTATATATATATATATTGATAATATAATATCGGCAATGTTTTGCACAGCTTGATAGTAGCTATGTATTTTAGCTGCTGTGAGGTAGCCAAGCGCCTAAAGTGACTTGTTTTTGAGAGATTGATCTACTGGACCCCTCCCAAGTGGCAAGCACGAGTTCCAAAATCTCAGAGCTTCCGTCGAGTATTATATCAGCTAGAGTCGTATATAGTCCTCGGACTTGCTGAACGCTTGGTTGCTGAATCGGTCAATGTCCGATGTCCATGATCTCTTCCATCAACGGGAATGCCTGCTTACCCGGTAGCACACTCACGGGACAGTTTCAGTGCTTTTGGAGCGCTCTGCCACCTCTCCACCTCTCTCTCTCTCATGTGCCCATGACAGTGGAGCTCTCTCAACAAGCGAGAGGAGACAGAAGGCTGGTTTTGACTTATTCAGGGACTCCGCTCCATGAAAAAACATGGAGGCAAGAAAGTCTGCAACCTGGACCTTTGATTTGTGGCCTCTAGCTGCTCTAGAGGCAGCTGGCCATTTGTCAGTGCACCTTTCTGGGTGCATCTCCATTGCGGTTTCATGCCTCTTCACCACTCTGACTAACTGCATGTTCCATCATTTCCCCCTGTCAAATCAATCGCCCCCCTCGAGGGTCCCATTTGTGTCCCATTTTGGTCGTCTCCGCACGCGAAGAACATGAAACAATCAAACGCCTGCCCACCTCACCCTTCATCGACGGACTCGTGGGCTTCTTGATGGACTCGGACTCGGCCGGGACTCTGTCAGCCTCATGCGACTCATGCGGCTCCTGGCAGCACGTGGCATGTCTCACGGCTGCGCTACAAGCGCACGGTTTAAGATCAAGTACATGGAATGACCAATTTCCCATGGCTTCATTCCCAACATGTGCTTCTTCTACTTCTATTCAAGTTGAGTGTAATTACTGGTAGTGTAGGAGTGCAACGGTCAACAGCTCAACCAGGGCGCAGTCCGGCCTTGCTCCCTGCAGAAACAAGAGGGGCCTCTGAAGCCTGGAACTTGACGCAGTCGCCCTAGCTAGCTATTGCCGCTCCACTTCGCCACAACTCGCATCCACGAACCCTCTCCTGAGGCGCGTGCTTCTCATGACTTTCATGAGTCGCATCCGTGTGCTTCACCTCAGACGGCGCCTTGGCTGCCACCACAGGCGCTGGCACTTCCGCTGGTGCGGCCGGCGGAACTGCTGCATCCGCCCCATCGGGGGCTTGCGCCCGGTCTTCCACAAAGTTCAACAAGTTCTTGGCCTCAAAGAATGCAAAAGTCGACGTGCTTCTGAAGTCATTCTTTTAGCATGCTATAGGTCTTCCGGTGGCAGTTGAACGTTGACATGACAAGAAAAAAGTATGAAAAAGGGAGAGGCGAGAGAGGCCAAATATATCCCAAGCTGGGGAGAGCACTCAGAATCCCCCCCCGCCGTCACACGGACTGCGGGCTGCAACAGGGCCAAACTGCGGGAATGTGTCCCCATGTGTTTCCCATGCTTCCTTAGTCCAGTGATCTGCAGTTGTGTCACACCAGCACCAACTCCTGGGCCCTGCCGGTCGTTGCTCCAGGATCCGGATCGACACTGGATCGACACCGATCACCGGTCCCAAGGCTCGGAGTCGAGGGGCGGTGCGTTGAGCGGTGAAGTCCTCGAAGTCCTCCGAGTTGTAGGGATGGAACCGCACCGTGGGGAAGCCTCGGCACGGTGAGGCTGAAAGCATGCCACGACATGGAGAAAGCGCCCACGTGGGGGGAGGAACTCGGATGTGTTTCTTTTTGAAAACGCCCGTGGGTTGGGTCGAACACAAAAATGGTGGGAGGTGGGGAAGGAGTCCAGTGAAAAAGCTTTGGGAATCGATGTTGGGGACATGTTGGGGCATGTTGGGGCCAAAGTATGGTGTGGTTGAAACCATCATGGAAGGAATGGTCTCGGAATAACTTGAAACACACCAGTCCAAATGGTGGGCCTACAAACCTTGGTCAAGAATTGCAGCTGGTGCTGTGACCATACAGTATCAGCAAGTGGTTGGAGAACTCCCTGTATCTCCCCCACCTCCCCAATACATCCAATACAAAGCACTATACAATATGTGCAAATATTTGGTGTATATATATATATATTGTAGCTTACCCTATGTATATCAGTATGAACAATGTACTGTAAATTAACCATATTCAATGATCAATCTCCAGATCCTCCCAGCTCCTTCCAAACCAGCCACACATACCATCTCTCATTCCTTTTTGTCCCGATCCGGGAGGCTATGAATGCCCTGCGTCTGGCACTCACCATAGTCCTTCCCAGGCTCCCATCGTGCTCCGAAGCACTCCTTCTCCTGCACAGTTGACATCTGGCACCTGGTACACATCACCTGAAGCAAGGAATAGCACAAGTACAAAAGCTGGCTTTCGCCCCACTGGTGCAACGTTGCAGGTCATCCTGCATGTCACGGGCTGCTCCCTGAGTCCCTGAAGGGATTTTATTCATTTTTCAGAGTAGTTCATATATATATATATACACATATCACTATATAATCTCTATATATATATATATGTAGCTCTTGGGGGAGACTCTTCGAGTGGAAGAAGCTCCGCCGTTTTTCACGGGCTGCTCGTCGCTCCTCCCACTCCACGTTCTTTGCACCGGGATGCTTCTCAGCCCACATGTGCTGTGCGTTCTTCCACACCTCCAGCTGGCTTTGTGGTGGGGCTGATCGGCACAGCTGGTGAAAACCGTTGTAGCCTCTGAGTCGACCACGTTCCCCCTATATAAATGAGCAAAATGAGCCAACGGCCACCAACAAATACCTTCCAAAATCTAGGGAGAGTCTTTATGGATAGGTCTTCTGGTGTTGCTGGGGCGTTTGCCTGCCTATTCGGCTATTCAAAAGTTTGTGGGTGCTCCTTCTTCGCTTGAAGAGAGGTGGTTGAAACTGTTATGCCATTCTTCTCGCACATCTTCCCTACCGTGGCGGGTATCACAAAAAACGCACTGGCCCACAGTGGGACTCGTCCAGGCCACTGGCTTCAGGTGCTTGCAATGCACACAGTCTTGGGAGAAGTAATCCACGACCCGGCCACCACCATAGCGAACGGCCGGCTGCATGTATTGTCCATCACCCCAAGATGCACTCAAACCTGCCAGCAATCATTGGCCAAATGCGGTCAATGAACATCGGAGTCACAATCCATGGAGTCTGGCTTACAGGATCTCACCGAAGGACAAGCAAATCGCAATGTCAACACTCTCGGTACAAAACAAACCATACATGCAAAACAACAGCATGTGGAAACAAGTGTATATATATATATCTACAGTACTTGCAACAGCACTGGGTATTTCATCTTTCATAGAACATGCATGAACATCATGAGTTATCAAATGTAGGGATCTTATAACCGATCTTATCTCAAACGGTGGAATCCAAGCGATCGGCGAGCGTTGCCGAACGCTCGCCTCGCCTGCATCTTCTTGCTCCGGCGTAAGTCCGAAGGCTGCAGTCTTCTGATCCCAAGCCTGACCAAAATTCCAGGCCCAAACTGACCAAAACCAAATCATCCTCTTTTGGAGTGGTTCTCGGAGCTTTCTCCCGTGTTTCTTCTTCCCGTCCGGACTTTCAGTGGATCCTTTGCGTCCACATGGAGAAGCCCAACCGACCCCATAGGTATCCCCCGGACCGGACCTGTCCCCCTCGATCCACTCGGCACGCCTGGGGATCCGCTCGGCTCTCGACGAAGTCCAAGAGCCGGTCCTGGAGGAGCGAAGGAGGTCCAGGGCAGGCGACCCGCACCGTTCGGTTCCGGTAAGGCCCTTTTTTGTTCAACGTTGGTTCCGTTCGGTTCGCGAAGCTTGCGAACCTTAGTATAAGTGATTAGATTCGTTAATGCCAGGAGCTACGTGAAGTAGCGAACCTTGTGTGGGCACCAACTAGCGATGGCCTCCAACCAACTCTCGGTCCAGTCTCGGTGTGTCTTCTTCTCTCACAGGAAAGGAAGGTTCCCACAGAGCAGTGGGGGTGACATGACGGGCCCGAAAACCTGGAGGGTGAAGACAGATCTTCCGCTACGCACGAAGGATTGTGTGGTCCCCTATCCAAGCTTTCTGGTAAGTCCCGGGTTCTGAGATGATCTTCCTCTATACCAGGTGGCTACTTCAGTTTGGAAGGTGGGAACTTAGGAACATAACGGATATCTCTGGACATTATACCAAGCAATAATATGCGATGTACCCAGGACTGTGCAAGACATGTTTTGTTGGTTGAATATTACTGATATTAACACCTTATAACTTATAACATCTTATAACTATTGTACTGTATAGGTATAGGTTCTAGCACCAACAATTTGGAAGAGTCTGTGAGCGGGAAATTGGGGCTTAAATTGTGGCACATCAGCCCATAGAATCAAGGACGTTCATGATGGAACTCATGGAGCTTGAACACAAATTAAAACAGGTGGCAGGCTGGCACCCCGACTGTCCGACTGCAATCTCCACAGGTCCAACGAATTATATAAACAAAACTGATTAATTCAGTTGTACTGGGACGATTAGGAACAAACAAGTCCTCTCCGAACTTCGCGACGCTCCGAAGTACTCGCATCTCTGACCAAGCTTCTTTGTCGCTATGTTCCAGGATCTCCTCACCAAACTGATCCTTCTTGCCTCAGGTCCATGGTGCACCCCGGGACCGGAGAAGCTTCTTGCTACTACTAGCGAACCTTGCTCCTAGTAGTAAGGCCAGGAGCACCTAGTAGCTTCTTGCTCCTAGTAGCGATGCCCTTGTTCCTAGTAGCTTCTTGTTGCTCAAATCCGTAAGACTTCTATTTTGTGCCAAAATCCATGTGACGCGGAATGGTCAGCGGCCTTTGTGGGATGGCCACAAATCGTGGAATGCAATACGCAACAAGGCCCAGAAGGGGTTGTTGTGATAATTCGGATTAAATTGGTATATATATATATATAAGTATAAGTGGTGATAAAACATCATGCTGCATGCTTGTCTGACTCTTAAATCAATGGGAGTAGCAAAGTGGTCCAAGACTCTTGTGAGAGAGCACTCTACCACGCACAACATACAAGAGTACACACTCGGGTCCCACAACTCACATCGTACCTGGCAATATTTGGGTGTGTATCAACTAAGGGAGACCTCCCAGTTCGACCCAGAAGGAAACTGGACCCCAAACCGGCTGGTCGGGTTGGGTCGGCTCCGCTACGAAACCGACGCGTGACCGGAGCGGGAGACCAAGTGACCGTAGTAGTACTTGATGGTGGGAAACGACTCGATGCCTTCCTCCTGGCACTCCTTGAAGTCTTTCCCTTTCTTCCAATCTGTGGTGTAGCATTCCTGTCACTGGGTGAAGCACAAACATCTAAATTCCGTCATTAAGCGCTTTCTCTCCACCTAACACAACAATCAACCCACAAGAGCAAGCTTGTCTTCCAAGCCCACTTCGCGGGTTGCCATTTTACTTTGGGGGAAAATATGGGCCATAATGGGCCATAATTATCCAAAGTAAATCTTCTCAAGACTCAAGACCTTGGCACACATGGCAGCGCCCTGCATCAACTCGCCAAGCAAAGCCTCCCCGAGATGTCTGTTAACAGTACACCGTATATTACAGGTGTCCATATCGAATTCTCTCAAACTTGCCAAGCAAACCCCTTTGCACAGCTCACCCAAATGACATCGAAAGGGCACATCACCACACTGCTCTCTCCAAAAGTTGCTCCTTCTGCTGCCAAATCAACTTTGCATCATGGTTGGCTGCTTTCCAATCCTCGCAGGGCCCATTTTCTTGCAAACCATCGGGGGGTAGATTTTCCCCAACAAAAAACACACGAAAACCCTCCCCAAAGAAACGCGTGCCACAATGGCATACTACGATATTTTTAGCCAATGACACTCATCACAAACCACAAACCAACCACCAGGACCCACAGCTTTGATGGATCTCACAGGGTCTGCCAGCTTCGATCGTGCCGACTTCGAGTGGAAACTTGGCTCGTCTCCTTCTCTGCCGACTTCCAGATTGGCTCTAAGGCCTGGCTATGTGGACAATCCTTGGCATAGAACTCCACCACACGCTGGGCCTCGACGCTGTCCTTCAGTTTTTTTGCGGTCAACACTGGCGCACTGTTGGAAGGATCGACCTCACAGGGTTCAACGACTTCTGTTTGGAAGTCCTCTGGCGCCCGTGCACCCAGCAACCAAGTGAAGGATGAACTACGGTCATAATTCTGAATTTATCCGAATTGGATTATAGGCTATGGGACTGGGTAACTGACTGGCTATATACTATAGGAAACATAAGGGGAACTCACAGAGTAGCAGTGACGACTCTTTCTTTTCTCCAAGAATGAAAGGAGTCTGTGATCAAGCTGCACTTGTCACGCTCTTAAGAGACATGAACAGTTAAAGAGTAGTGTTATGAAATAACACTGGGTATTAGTCGTGGTAAGTACACACAGACCAGCTTGGAAAGTCATCTTTGATGAACTTAACATACCACCCACTGTATTCAATCACCCACTGTCCATGTACTCCAAAAAGCGGGAAAGGTGTGCAGGGTGACACACGGACCGGAGTGGATCCGGGTAGCTAACAGCTAACCTCTGACACATCCCAAGGTTGTGATCTGGTCCAAGAATCACAAACCCCATCTCGTGATAGGCCATCAGAGGGGTTACTCTCAGAGTCTATCCACTCGATCCAAACACGAATTTGAAATCTCTGACACAAGAAATGTGCGACCTGAACGAGGGTATGGACATCGATCTGGGAGCTGGAGCCACGAATAAGTGATGCAACAGCTGCTTCATTATCGATAAACCATAAAATATCCTGGTGGCTCAAGGTGGTTCCATGAAACCATGGCACTAAGAGCCCACACAGGGTTTTCGCCGGGATAGATTTGTTGCGCGCGGTCTTCCCATGTCTGAATCACCTCCGGGGGGACGACACAGGTCACCCCTTGTGGGCGAGTCGACTGGCCAAAAACAACCCAGCCAACTCGGAGGACGTCATGCTCAAATGAAGCATCGGAGTAAACAAGGACTGGTTGGCGAGGGAGAGCCGTGACAGCAACAACACGGGGCCCTGGGCAGGTTACCAAAGCTGCCAAGAGCTGAAGGGTAACAGCGTCCTCAGGAGAAAGATTAGGGGTGTCAGCGTGCTGCAGTGCGGAAGCGTAGGTCCAGCGATCCTACCTGCTTGACCAGCGCACATGCTAAACATCCAGTTCAGGTCACCTCTAAGCTTGCCAGCGTCATCCGGAGAAATGCTATTTGTGGTCAGGGCAAGGTGAAGCTTAGCTAACACCTTACGCTGAGTGGTGAACTTAGGTTGAAACCGGATAGAGCCCGAGGGCACAAAATCTCCAACATGTACGGAGGTACCAAGATAGTGGCGGTTACTACCTGGGGCAAATGACTTTGCTGCTTGCGGTGGTGCTCCCATGAGTTGAAACACGAGTTGGAGTCCGCGTTGCGAAACATCCGCATGGTGAACAAAATCAACCGCAAGTTCATCATCAAAGTAAGCGGCACAAAAGGACAATGTACAGCGTCGTGCGATCGCAACACCCAACTGGGGGAAGCGGTTGAAACTGACAACTGCACTCTCTAGTCCGTAGGCCAGCCCGTACATAGTAAACCGCCAGCCTTCGTCAGGGACGAAGATAGCCACATTGGAGAACCGCAGGTGGTCATCTTGGACTGGGAGGCCTCGATAGGCGTCAGGCAAGTCATCAGTGCCTAACCTCAAATCCAGCCAGTCTGGTGGGTCACACCTATGAGTCTCCAAGGCGGTATTGACCATGCGAGCTACTGATGCAACAAAATCAACGTTAACGGTCGAGATAGTCTCCTGCATGGAGGTGTGGGTATTGTGGCCACTCTTGCGGGCGTTATCAATGACCCGCTGTTTACCATCTGGTTGAATAATAAGAAAACGCTCCACAGCGCGCCAGCCACCAATACCAAACTGATCATTCATAGCCTGCATAGTTCGCAGTGGGCTGCAAAAACCTTTAAGGATCTCCTCCTGAGTGATGGCCAAAATTTCTGGGGCATGAAGAGGGGGCCGACTACGGATCAACCGCTGTACTTCCGCTTCAGCTGACGGACCCAGCCATTCAGCCAAAGGGAGTTTGTCAGCCTGTTGGATACCCCGAAACACCCCTGACGGCGGAAGGGACCCCACAATAGCAAACCCCTGGACAAGTTGGCCGGCCATGTCACGGTCCGGCCACCTCAGAAGGCACGCCATGGTTGCCACAAAAGCAGGCTGCTTAGAGTGCGCTACTTTGTTGGCACTAGTGCACCTGACCGCCGCAAGACACGGATTCAATATCTGCACAGCTTTTTCCACAGCTTTCAAAATGCGCCGCAGCCTTTGGCTGTATACGGGGAGAAACTGCTGCCAAACA